AGGCGAGGTTGTTCAGGCTTGTGAGAGTGTCAGGGTGCTCCTTGCCGAGGACTTTTGTCCTCCCTTTCAAGGTATGCTGGATCATCCGTTTACACAAGTTATATCTACCCTGTCTTTGAAAGAAAGAAGCGAAATTAGATGTAGCATCTAGCAACTCGGTCTCCTCGAGGTTCTCACTAAGAACTGTATAGTCAATGTCGCTTTGAAGAACCGCCTCTAAGTGAGATAATAGTGCTTGCTTCGATTCGAATTTCATAATATGAATGCTGTGAGAATCCAAGAAGGCTGAAAGCAATAGAATTGCTTCTCGAGTAAATGTCCGACGTGCACTGGAGTTGACTCGTAACTTTACCCAATCTTGAATAAGAGGGTGTAGTGAGAATGTCGTCTCATCTTTTCCGATATATAGGTTTTGAAGCAGCGAGAGATTTTGGAATTCTTTGAGTATGTCCTGAGCTTCATACTTATCCCAAACGCCATCGCGTACACAAGACACTAGCCAATGAACGTGTTTAGAGCCGTAGCATCTAAAAAGTTCATCAGAGATTTCTTTGCCGTCGAGAAATCCTGCGAGAGTAAGAAGATGGTCTTTGTCTTTGCGAACAGCAGGGCTTCCTTTAATTAATTCAATGGATAATTCCCAAGTTGTGAACACAGTGAGCTTGGTTTCGAACTCCGCATCTGTAGTTAATTTTCGTCTATAATCCCAAAGTTCAGGTACCTCATTGAGCACCTTCTCTTTCCGTTCAGAGTAGTGGGTCATGTATAGGTTGAGATCCAAACCACGTGCTTGAATGTAAGCTCCGGCTTGGTCAATAGCGAGCGCATGATATCCAAGCCTCTTGACGATGTCTGCCGCTTCTTGTGTATTTTCACTAGTTTTCTCAGCCCGGCTTCTCTCAAGCAAGAGCTGTAGTGCCTCTTTATTCGACATAGTCGTCACTTCTATGCAGAAGCCCAAGCTCTTTGCCACAGCATGGCGACTCGTGAAGAGGATTGAACCGTAACCGCCCCGCGGGAAATACTCATTTATACTCGTATTGCCAAACGAGCTTGGATTGTCAAAGTTGTCAAAGACGAGTAGCCAGCGGGACTTCCATGCCTCTATTGTGTCAAGAACAAATCGAATGTTTCCTTTGTCGTCTGCGATGTCGAAATTTGACTTCAACAACTTGTTTGCGACGTTGGCGAAAGACTGTGATATGCTCATGGGAGAACTTGCATCTAACCAGAGTATCGCAGAAAACCACTTCTCGTTCTGACCTTGTCGACAATATTCGAGTGCAAGTTGGGATTTGCCACATCCGCCCATACCAAGCAAAACAACGACCGTTAGCACTGCCTTAGCTGGGGGCTTCTGGAATCTTTGATGAATAGCGTCAAGAGGAACCTTTCGAGTGACATAGTATAAGACCTGGTGTGATGGATATAGAAAGTAGTGATGAGTATTAAAAATAGCTGCGACTGCTCCATCTGCCTTATACTTAGCATATGTAAAATGAAAAGTTTCTTGCTATATACCTAACTGGCCTAGAGGGTACACCTGCTGGGACTTCCCTACTAATGCATCTACAATCACATCTAACCTTTTGCTGACTGCGTTGTCATTCAAATATGCCATGGTGTGTTGTTTGACATCTCCAAGCTTTTCCCATTCCTCGAGAGAGACCTCCTCAAGTCCTCTCTCTACATTCAGCCGGTAGTAGAGGCCAGGGCAGTTTTGGAATCGAGCTTCCATTGCCGACGCTTCAACCTCGGTGTCGGTAGCCATATCCGCTAAAACCTTGATGAGCTCCGACGGTAGTACTCTTTGAAAGAGGCCCGGGGCTTTAAACCCAGCAACCTTTGGCTTTCCTGTCCCAATACTGACAATACAACTAACCGTTCTCTCGGGACCAAATTCTTTTCCCGCTTCTTCGACAAGATACCGCGCAGGATTGTTGCATCCCATTCCTGCATCGATGAACTCCTCTTGTAGACCTGGATCTCCAATGTAAATACGCTTGAAGAATCTAGGAGCGGCTGATGTCGCGCGTGCGGCTTCCCAGATAGTACAGTTATAACCCGGATTTTTATCTGCCGACCATGTCCGGAACAATCTCGGTTGCTTGTTGATGTGCTTCGCTGGGACTGCGCAAACGAATCTAAGAGCTTGAGTGTTATTTAGCGCTAAGATGATTTCTTACAGACTTACGTCTTGCATGTCGATCTATTGGATACAAACATCCTGTCATCTGCATGACCTTTGCCCAACTTTTCTTCGACAGCGTCTTTGATAGCCTTTTCTAAACTCGAGGCTTTAAAGCACCCATCCTTTCCTCGAGATTTCTTGTCCGAGAAGACTTGTTTGGCCAAGAGTCGGTACTTGTCGATAGCTTCGGGAACGGATAAACGGAGGCGACCGAGAAGTAGAGCAATAAGCCTATGCAACGTTAGAAAGAGTTGTAACACTCATTTAAACATTCTACTTACCCACCAGTACTTGTACCGCAAATTACGTCAAAGTAGTCTGCTGGCAGAAGTGTTGGCAGATTCTGAGACCGACCTACACGATGCATGATTTCCTCCAGGATTACTAGCTCTGAGATGCCTCTGATACCACCGCCGTCTGAACTGTTAGCACCAATGTCAGAGGTATAGAATAGAGTCTATTTACCTAAAGACAGAAGACGTAAGGGGCGATTCAATGATTCTCCTGTGGCTGGTTCCATATTCACGAGACAGAATCTTGAGGAGACGTTACTAGTCAGGGAATCGTAATGCTTAAAGTTGTGGTAATTTTGACTGCTGCCTTCACCAAAGATTATCTATCACATCAAGGTCGACTTGATTTGTCCATGTTTAAGCCTTAGGCCTCAGGCACACGCCAATTGTCCTTTCGATAAGAAGGACGTCGAAGATGTTCTCGCTCACAACACTCACTCCCCAAAATGGCGCCCAATCTCGCAGATTCGCAGCATTTGCAGATTCGCGATATGACCTTGAGTAACTGTGCTCCTGCCGAAATAGCTGACGTCGTAGGTTGCAGTGAGCGTTCTGTGTTTGCGATACAGTCAAACCTTCGTCATTTTGGCTCCACGAAAGCCCCTTCAAATGGTGTCGGACGGCCCCGAAGCATTACACCTCCGATGTTAGACGCTCTGTGTGAATACTTGCTTGAGAAGCCTGATCTATACCGGGACGAGATGGTGCTCTTTCTGCTGGACGAGTTCCAGACCCACGTAACACCTTCCAGTGTAGGGAGAGCGCTGAAATCCCGCGGTTGGACCAAGAAAACAATTCGCCGTATAGCAAAGGGAAGAAATGCTGATCTGCGAGACTTGTACATGCATAATTCGTGGGATTCGGGCTTCCGCTCGTATCACTATGTTTTCGTGGACGAATCTGGCTGTGACAAACGGAGTGGATTCAGACGGATGGGGTGGTCTCCCCTTGGTGTGACTCCGATCCAAATTGCCCGATTCCAACGTGAGCAACGATGGCAGATATTGCCCGCATATACACAGGATGGCATTGTCCTTGCTCGCGTCTTCCAGGGATCTACAGACAGCACTGTCTTCGAGGATTTCATAGAGCAGCTCCTTCCTTTGTGTGGTAGATGGCCAGAGTCGAAGTCAGTTCTTGTTATGGACAATGCCTCTATTCATCACACGGAGCGGATCGAGCAAATGTGTTATGATGCTGGTGTAAAGTTGGTATATTTGCCACCATATTCGCCCGATCTTAATCCAATTGAGGAGTTCTTCGCTGAGTTAAAAGCTTTTATTAAACGGAACTGGCACATTTATGAGGGAAATCCAGAGCAAGGCTTTGATAGCTTTCTAGAAAGGTGTATTGATGTAGTTGGCCAAAAGAAGAATAGTGCTAGAGGACATTTTAGGCATGCAGGATTGATCATTGAAGAGCCATAAAAGCTTAGTAGGTGTGGTAGGCAGGATAATTTTCAAATTCAAAACTCCTAACGACCAGACTACTTGCAATGTATACAAATTCATTCTAGTTATTCCTCAGTTCTAGCTCGCTTGATGTTCTCGAACCAGTAGTCGATATCACCTACGACATGTTCGGCAACCCCTTCCAGGACATCTGCATCGACCAAAAACTTAGGGTCTGGATTCTGGCGGATCAATTCTAAGTCCTTCCCCTTTTTGATTATCACATTGCAAGCTTTTTGGTACTCTAGCTTCAATTCTGGCCTCTTGTTTTGTGATTTTTGCCAGTTACAATACTCCTCTACCGCATCATCCCGAAAGCCAGGGATATTAAGGCGATCAGTTGGAGTACTTCTTGAAGGCATGTCTGGAACCGGAGTTCCAGCTACAGACGCTAGGTAGGACGTCTGACCAGACGGTGCAGGCAACACATTAGTGATATTGATAGGGGGGAGGCTTGATGCAGACGTCCCAGAAGCCTTTTGATGCCTCTCGAGCGACTTCTGCTCCTCTGCATACAGCTCGTCTCGAATGTTCACCGGTACATCATCATGTGTTTCCAATGTGTGACCCTCTTGTACCCACATGATGAGGCTCTTTAGCTGGCGCGTGTTCAGTGGGTAATGCTTCTTGCCGATAGGGTCAACCCAGCAGTAAAGCCCCTTCTTACAAGGAGGGCCAGGACAACGCATAGTACTATATACCTTCCGCCAAACGGATGGGTGTCCGGAAGATGACTATTCTGCATCTACTTGCAAAGCTCCTTCGGCTAGCATCTGCTGGGTTGTGGATGGGAAGCCTCTTTTGGCCGGCCTCCCCAATGAGGTAGTCGATGACTGACTAACGTCTACGTAGTTGAATGAGAGTTTTAGGGTTAGTTTCTTACCTGCGCGGCAAAACTCGCCCCACGCAACGAGTTGTTTTTCTATGATTGCCCAGTCAATACTAGTGTCAGCAAAGCGTAATACAAGGTCATCCTCTTTACGCTGCGTAACCGAAACCACAACGTTTGTATCCTCGGACCTGATCGGTTTGTCATTTTTTCTGTGCCAGTAATTGTCAATCTTTGGCTGGATAAGGTGTTAGCAGAAGGAAGAAGGTGCCAGCACTGTATCTTGCACTGTGTCTGGTCCCACTACTGCCCTCTTGTTCCGTGTAACCTTCCACACGATTGAGTAATGTATATAAATCGGTGGATCATCATCGTATGTCCCTTCGCTGTCCCAATCAGGAAACTGGCATAGCTTGAGGTTATTCGTCTGTGTCCGTTGCTGACTGGTGTCATCGTATGGATCCCATTGTTCGTATGAATCGAAGGAGTGGAGGGAAAGGATAGGGCTGCTCATCGTTGCCTTGCAGACAACCGCGTTCCAAAGCTGGGTGGCTCTGGTCGTCCAAGCCTGTGACACCATAAGTAGGTCGTTAGAACATTATCTTCGCAGACCATGACTTGCCAGTTAGAGTACACTAGTGTGTATTGCAGACCAGCTATCCAATCCTGTGTCAATTATAAGTCGCTAGAAACGGGTCTGGGCAAGCCATGACTTACCAATGAAAGCTATGTCCTGATTCGATTAGTTCACGCTAATATCTGAGGGAAGAAATACCCAGAGTCAATAGTACGAGAGCACTATCACAGTAAAGGGAGTACAACTGGTGTCTAGGGAAAAGACAGCTGTGGACGCAATTCAGAGCCAGATTCTAGAATGTTCTACAGGCCTGAATAAATCCTCAGGCACAACATCAGACTTTCACGTGATGGAGCAGAAATGCGCCGATGACCGGCAACGTGAAAAAATGATGTGGCAGTTCACATGCAGCAGGGAGATAAGCGAAGGTAGTGGTTGGCGATCCAGCTAGCCATAGAGGGTTAGTGCCCATAAAGTGTGGGTCCAGAATAAATATCATTGAGTGTTCTGAACTGAAGCCGATTTCGAATTCTACTGTACCATCGTGTCATTCTCACATTCGGGTTCCCGATCCGCCGCCTGCTGCGAGAGAGTTTGCTTTTGCTTTTGCTCCGAAGAGTGACTTGCCGGCAGCGATCAATCAATAAGCAATGAACAGACAGACGGACAGAGACCAGGCCTAAATAGGGCTTTGTCGCGAATATGGTGACTGCATACTTGCGATTGGTGAGAGGTGCTGTTGGTAAGTAGTGACAAGTGACGGGCACTGATGACAGGTTGATGGACCGGTGATGAGAAGTTTCTTTGTCAAATTATCACCAAAGTGACCAGAGCCGAAATGTCTAAAAGAAAAGTTAGAGAAACTGCAACGTCGCGTTTCGAGATCTGGGAATGATGAGGTCAGGAACCGGGACGGGATGGTCAGTTCTCGAGAGAGAATCCTCAGGGTGTGCGTGCTTGCTGGGGAGGGAGGGAAATGGAGAGAGCCCCTGAAGACGTTGAGGTGTCCCCTGAAGATCTGGAGGGGTGGGAGGAAGGGGATGGAGATTGAGGCTTGGCGAGCATGATGACATGGTGTTGGAGGCAAAGTGCATGGGAAGGATTATTGGGAAAGGAAGGGATTCAAGGGAAGGATTGGAATGACCGGGCCTATTAGTTGCCAGCCTTGATTGCATGTAAGGATGAGGCTGAGGTTGGGGAGATGGAAGAATAGGACAAGGACGAGGAGTGAACCATGAAATTAAAGTTAAGCTTGAAAGGTCTTTTGCTTAGCACATTATGATAAAGTAAGGTTCTTTTACGCTTGACGAAACCTTTTTGCCAGGATAGCTCCATGTGCTTTCACGCAATTGCTTGAGCTGGGTACCTGGTCTTCTGTCACGAAGCTCTTCACGTGAGGTCTCCACACCTACCTTAACCCCAGTCAATCTTCAACCTAAGCAATCCTTAGAGCCTCATCTCTTCATCAATATCTTCAACATCTTCAGATTTCCCCCTTTCTCTTATGTTGTCATTCCAGGCTCAAGCCTACCTACTACCAGATTCACTCTCCAGCACGTGAATCACGACAGCTTCCCCTCAAATCACGACATCGCCCAAAGCAGTAACCGCCGCATCACATCATCACCAACTACACGTTCACAGCCGAGTCAAGCTCCATATCCAGCTTCTACGCGTCTTCAAAAGGCCCCGGAAGCTCTCTTAGCCAAACCCAAACGTCCATTCCGCTCTTTGTGGTTGGTGGGCACTGGAGCTATGCAACGGGCATGGCGGGGCATGCATCCATAATTGCTACGAAGCTCCAACCTTTGTCAAAAAAGTAGGAAGTAAGGTGGGGTAGGATGGATAGTTCCACATGATGCTGTCTTGAGTTTTTCTCTTTTGCCTTTTTATTTCTGTTTATTTTCTTCTCTTGTCCCTGAAGATCTGCTCGTAAGCTGCATTGACTACCTTCCACTTCACAGCTTCGTTCATAATGGCATCCAGCGATCCAGAAAAGACAGTAGCAACAGATTTCCCAACCCATTCCCCAAGTTTGGGTCCAGATGACATCTCCCCAGCCACAGCATCGCACATAGATGACAACTACGAGCTCTACAAGAACGGCAAAGATGTCGAATTCGACCCCGCAGAAGAGAAACGAGTGTTGCGAAAGATCGATTTTAGGATTATACCTATCCTGTTCGTGACATACATGCTACAGTACTTGGATAAGAATAGTATCAATTTCTCGAGCGTGTATGGGTTGCAGAAGGGCACGCATTTGAAGGGACAGGATTACTCATGGTTGGGTCTGTTTTCAGCTCCATTAAAGGTGGTATGGAACTGATGGTATTACAGGCTCGATATTCTACTTCGGATACCTGTTCTTCCAATTTCCGTCTGGATATCTGCTGCAGAAGTTGCCGATTGGGAAATTCTTGTCATATGCTACGATTGCTTGGGGCATTATCCTCATCACTACACCAGCATGCCACAACTTTGGTGGAATTGCTACCAACCGCTTTCTGCTGTAAGTCTTTACTTTTCTGATACCTCACCAAATCTGCCATGAAGCCCAAGTAACGTTTTCAAGAGGTGCTCTTGAAGCTACAGTCAACCCAGGCTTCGTACTCTTAATGTCAATGTGGTACACCGCGGCCGAACAGCCCCTCCGCCTCGAAATCTACTACTCCACCAACGGCATTGCTACCATGTTCGGCGGCCTCATCGGCTACGCAGTCGGACACATCACATCCGGTCTCCAGAAATGGATGTACGTCTTCATCATCTTCGGCAGCATCTCCATCGCCTGGGGCATAATTTCCCTCCTCGTCCTCCCAGATCTTCCTTCAACCGCCAAATTCCTGACCCCCGAAGAGCGAACCATAGCCGTCAACCGAGTATCGAAGAACAAACAAGGAGTAAAGAATAGACATTTCCAGAAATATCAAGCGTGGCAAACGGCCAAGGATCCGAAGACTTGGATACTGTTCATCATAGCTGTTGGTGCCCAAGTTCCAAATTCTGCTTTGACGAGCTTTACGTCTATCATTATTGACTCTTTTGGGTTCTCAACGTTAGGAAGCCAGTATTTGCAGATTCCGGGCGGAGCAGTGCAGTTCCTAGCCTTGATTTTTGGAGGTTGGGTCTGTACTCGCTGGCCGAAGAATACGAGATGTGCTACTATGGTTTTTGCGAATTGTGTTTGTATCATTGGAGCGGGACTCTTGGTTGGACTACCAAGTCACAACAAATGGGGACGTTTGGTGGCGCTTTGGTTGTGCTATTTCCAAGGCTTGGGATTCAGTTTGAGCTTGACTATGGTGAGCAGTAATGTGGCAGGATATACCAAGAAACAGCTTACGGGAGCTGTTCTCTTTACTGGATATTGTGTTGGGAATATCATTGGTCCGCAGACGTTCATTGCGAAGGAAGCTCGTAAGTGTATTCTCTCTTGATTGTGAGGACTGGAGCTAATGAGAATAGCTGGATACCATAGTGCATACATTGCTATGCTTGTCGGGTATAGCGTCAAGTTATTGATGGTTATCGTTTTGTACATTTACATGTACCGCGTCAACAAATCAAGAGATGCGGAGCACGCAAGTCAAGGCGAGCTCAGCGAGGAGGAGGAGCGTGAAGCTATTGAGAAGGGGATGCTGGACCAGACTGAGGTCGATAACAAGGGCTTCAGATATATTTTGTAGTTATCTATATTTGGTGGTAATGCTAATATGCTTTGACGTTTGGCTATGGGTATTGCCCTCTCACTTGCTTCAGTATCGTACACTTCTACTTCCTTTCCTAACAAAGAACTCCTGACTGTTTGGCTTGCTCTGTCATCATTGTCCAGAAACATCACGGTCAGCTTCCACTCCCCGAGCCCTTAGATGCCTTCTTTCCACCTGATCCAGAAGCACCTCCACTATCCGGTTTCTTCGCCTTACTCGGCGGTGCATTTCGAGACCCACCTCCCTTCTTCTCCGGTACCTTCTTCCCCTTCCCCCCAAAAAGAAAATCCCAAAAACCAATCGCTTTAGGAGCTTTCCCACTGTTATAATCCGCCATAATCTCCTGTTTCCAGACTTTATACCTAACATCCCACCAATTAGCCATTTCCCCACACCCCAAGGAATGCAATCAAACTCACTCATCCCTATCCCTCGGCGGCAAAGACCGACTCCCTTCCAAAGCCTTATGTCCCAACAACCCCTCCTCGAAACTCAGGCCCCACTTCAGCGGATTTTTCTCCCCTTTTCTCCTCGCTAGGCCGTACACTTGACCACCGGCCTTTTTGGCGACTGGGGGTGCGGGTCTCTTGTCTTTGTTGAAGTTTATGGCTTGGGCTGAGGATGCTTTCGCGTCTGATGATGGTTTTTTGCCGGACATTTTTGGGTGATGATGTTTGGAGAGTAGTAGATGTGGATTGGAGGAAGAGAGCAAGGCGTGGTTTGCGATGTGTAGTTTCATGATGGTAATAGCTGGTCTGATGATAGCGTGAATGGGATTGGATGTCTGAATCACATTGGTTGAGAGGCATGTTCTAGGCTATGATGCTAGTGGGTTGATGTGAGTCGAGATGCTGGAGATGTGATTGTGAGTTTTGAAATACTTGGGTTGCGAGATGTAGAAATCTTGTCATGTAGTTTTGGTAGCTGTTACCAAGTTCACTTCTCGCGAAGGATACTGATTAAAGATGGGAAGAGATGGGTGTCTATTGCGATTCGAGCCATGATCAAAGACACTGAGGTCATATTGTGGTCTGCTTGTACTTGAGTACTTTGCATAAAAGCCCGAACTTGGTTTGCAAGGCAAGGATTCTATCTCCAGGATCGTAGAGAGGAGTTATACAAGAGTTTGAGCCCTCCTGATACAACTTAATTGCCACATAAAGTCTTACTTTCGACATTGACCAACGAGCTCATCCGGGTTCAATGTACTTGTGTATGGAACACATAATTGAAGCTCAACGTACGTATTTTGGATCTATTTATACACTTTGGAGTGGAGTCTCTGATGAAACCGGGGAGCAAAAACATGCTAAGCCCAAGCAAACCTCGCAAAAGCAACGGTTTGTGGATGACGAGGAAGAGATGTCTGTAAGGTTTGTTGTGCCGAAGACTGGGGTCCAGAGATTCAAGGTCGTGCGGAGAATTCTCGCAATGCAGTCAGCCCAATGAACAGAAGTACACAGCTGAGAATCAATAATGGGATCTCATCTCGACAAAGCCCAGCATTGCACCGTTGGCTCCAAAACCCGCGTTTCTTTCCCGAAGGCGGTGGGATTTTCAGGTGTGTGGATGATTTGCTTTGGAGCATGTGTAGCGATTGTTGAGGGATTTGGAGACCTGGGTTTGTGTGTCATTTCTACTTGGAAAGGTCGATATCTATTGGAGAACAGTTTCTTGGAGAAGACGGATAGACTATCTTCAGGATTCACGGCACCTCACCAGCTTCTATCCCAAACTCGACAGTATTGGCTTATTTGGTTCCTATTCATGTTTATTATGATGAGGATACCAATCTATGTAGCTGGGATGCTGATTATAGTGAGGCGCGACTGACGCTTTGGCCGGGGGTGTAGGTTTCTCCGAGGATTGATTGTCTATTTTGGGATATGCTGTGAGAGGATCGTGGCCTGAAGCTCGGTATTGTGGGGATGTACAGGAGGATTGATTCTCTTGGAAGATTGAAGGCGATGTGGAATGGTTAAGACTGTTGAGAGAGTGTGGACGGTTTCTAGGACATATTCAACGAGCACCTCAAAATACTTTCTCTTTCTTACAAACAGTTCATCATTATCCATCATCTCTAATCTCTACCTCGGTAGAAACTGGGTGCTTATCGGTCGAGGCTCCGTGTTGAAAGATAAAGAATAGGATGAGAAGTAGAATTTGTAGGTTAGTTGTTCGTCTTGGATGAGAAGGCTTGAAGACGAGTTTTGGGGCTTGCTGAGGAGGAATGGAATGGACTTGATTCTTTGTCAGAAATATAACGTAAGAAAAGGGGGTAGTTTGGAGTTATGGTGTCTTTGAGGGCTAGACGATGGACTTTTGTGGAGCGGCGAGGAGTCAAGATTGTAGGGTTGGTTGCAATCACGTGTACCCCCTTTTATTTGATGTTCTTGGTCTAGTCCAGGTCTCACTCATGCTCGTGTGCCAGGATCCTTAGACTTCTCAATACACTTTTCACTGCTCATAAGCTTCCATGATACACGCAATATCCATCTGACAAAGGTGAGGCTTACTTAGAGAGAATGTTCTTGATTCAATTGGCTAACTCGAACATCTTTCTTATATCCAATTTCTGCACCACCAGCTTTTGAAACGTCATAGCAAAATCATCGTTTTCCGAATAATCACCCAACTCGTCCGAGAGGCATGCTACCACAGCCTCTTTGTATGCCGAGCCCATGCGGTGTCCCAGCCTTCGACTCGCATCGCTCAATAGATTCTTCCGAATCATACTCGCTGAAGGGGTCTTCCGCTGCGAGTCCCTTTTGCGTAATTCCCCACAAATCTCATCATACATACCTCTTGCTGGTTCCCACAGGCCAATTTCCAGGAGCACAATCCCAAGCGAATAGATATCGTGAACTTTCTTAAAACTGGTTGTCGGAGGGCCAGTCCTCTCTGGATGTCGGTAAACGTCTCTCTCCGGGTCGGGAGCTTGTCCGATGAGTCTAGTCTCTCCTGTCACTGGCCGTGAGAACTCAAAGTCGGTAAGAAACGGGTTTCTCAGGTCGCAACTGCCTTCTTTATCGAAGAAGAATTTCACTGCATGGCTTCGGATACTCTTGTGCACCCATCCATCGGCATGGAATGCACCGATGGATTGCGAAATCGTATGAGCGACATGGAAGCGAAGTTCGAGGGAAAGTTTCTCCTTGGATCCTCTGGTCATAAGTAGATCATGAAGACTCTGTGGCATTTGATCTCCCGCCAAGGGCGGAAAGTCGAAAAAGAAGATGTAGCGCGACTTCGCTTGTTCTTTGAGGTAGCCCTTGAAGGGCAGTGTGCGAAAGTTATTCGAGCCGGCTGTCTCTAGCAAGTTCGCCAGCTGGCGTGGGCATAGACCAGCCTTGGAACCAGTAACGATAAGCCCCGAGCTCTCCCCTTCATTTTCACCTAGTGAGACGTAAGGTTTGTACTCTATCAGTACTCTTGGGCTTTTCGCATCAGCATTCGGCGAGTCATAGGTCAAGAGAAGCTTTTCATCTGCTATAGCCAATGTCAGACAATGAGACTGAATTTATGCTTGAGTCCAGGGCACTTACTCGTGGTTTCTTCTTCTGGATTCTGAGCAATTTGCATCAGCCGGAGATGAGGTGCGAAGATATTGACATCATCATCGTCTTCCATAAGTCTCGAGACACGTTCAGGGTTTTTCAGGTACTGGCCACTGTCCAGCAGATGAGGAACCAAGTCTTTGAGCTTCTGGTTCCATTTCACGAAAGTTTTCAGAGTATTCTCTAACTTTTCTTTCTCGAAGAGCGCCCATCGTAACGCTTTTGCAAGTTCCACGCCATTCCTCCGGACAAGTGAAAAACTTGTTAGTTGAGAAAAAAATTTCACGACCCCTCCCTTTTTTTCCGAGAATGTCCTGCTTGCCCTCTGTTTCTTCAATCTCGAGAGGGAATTCAGAGATGGGGCAGTCAATAGTATGACCGCTGTATGGAGAATATTTCCGGTAGTCATCGTCTATATCTGCTGCGATTTTTGCGTAGTCGGAAAAGGATAGCCTGAGCTGGGTGAAGATAACTTGGACGCTCTCCAGCCACTCTTAATTGCGGTTTAGAATTGCAATGCTAAGTTACCCAAGAGAATTCTCAAGATCAAATACCGCATTCAAAAGGTCGTCATGGACTAGATGTCCATCTTTACGAGTAAACAGGCGCCAGAAGCTCTTCAAGTGAAGGATTTCAATCCTAAACTCTGCAATCAGATTGCTTTGCTCTCCTCGGTGCAGCTTTGCCGATCGGGCTGTCTTCTGAATGAATTTTGCAATTAAATATACATCTTTAAACGTGCCGATTACGGTCAAGGTGAAAGAAACAGGATCCATTTGTGTTGAATAGGATGTTGCGACGCGAGGCTGAAAAGTAAGAGAGTCGGGAAGTGTTGGTCAATATCGCGAATCGGCGATTGTTGCTTTCTATTATCATGGTATTGATTGATTGGATTGGACTGACGGCCCAACTTCGTATGCAATACTTGCTGGGCAACGCATCGTGTGCGCCCCGTCCATCGTGTACCACTTCCGCTGGGCAATGTCAGGCTTTGTCAGCCAGCCACAGTCGGAGTTCATGGATGTAAGTCTGCCTTGCCAGCGAGATTCATTTGCTTGCAGAAACAATTCTCGTTTTCGACAAATTTGCTTTGATAAAGGAAAGAATTCGACAGTGCTTGCGTCCATTGGAATGGCTAATACACTTGTGCCAACCATCACTCGCGCGACTCAGCCTTCTCGCTTTTGGCACAGCAGGCAACTAGAAGAGTCTTACCAGAACGTGAGCGAGGATCATATCGAAAATTTGAAAGGGCTGGTCCGAACGTTACAAGAAAATGCTGTCCCGGGGCCACAACTTTTTCGATTGCGCCATGAGTTCACCGACAGGCTTGGTACAGGGGGCGAAAGCGAGGTATATGGTATCTCATCTGCTGCTTTGAAGTTTCTCCGACAGGCAGACAAGCAAGACCACTTACGATGGCCCGTGGAGAAGATTGCCATCAAACAACACAAGCCAAAGCCTGCTGCTGACTCTGTCCGCTTAAGCTCCCATTTTTTGGCCGCAAAGCGTGAAGTTCTTGCATTGGCTCCCACTTTGTTCCAAAAGCACCCCAACATCGTTCAGTTGTTGGGATGGGGCTTTTGCTTGGATGCGATTGAGGACTTTGCTTGTGACTCGTTTCAAATCCCTTTATTAATTCTTGAGCGAGCTGAGACAGACTTGTATCGGTTCGTGCGGGGAGATGCGCTGTGCTCGAGAACTACAATCGCTCAAGACCTGGAAGCAGGGTCGGACAAGTGGCGTCTGCGTCAAGACGATGTTGTACGCCGACTATGTGTTGATGTCGGCAATGGGCTGTATGCCCTTCATCAGCAGAGCTTCGCACATGGAGACTTGAAGCCACAAAATGTGCTGGTCTTTCAAAATGGCAGAAGATTGGTTGCAAAGCTTTGCGACTTTGGATGTACGCGAGGGGTAGTTGAACCTAGCGGGGACAGCTCTAGGAATACTAGATACGCTGGCACACCCGGCTGGCTGCCACCCGAAGTCATCATAGGAACAGATCGGGGAATAGATCATGCTGAATTGCAGAAATGCGACATCTATACCTATGGCCTCCTTGTTTGGAGTGTATTCTGCCAGTTTGGGGACCCACCCCTGCTTCAAGACCAGGAGACCCAAATCTTGCCGGATATTGTTCTTGAACGAGGATTACAAGATGTCCAGGAAACTTTTTCTGGACGATCGCGATGGCTGGCAGAGACCATTATTGAAGTACTGAGAAACACCTTACAACTCGAACCAACTCAGCGGTCTTCGACACCCTGGGATCAAATGCGAACCAGATCTGAAAATGCTGTACTTCAGATGCAAACAATATGGAGATCTTTTTCTCTTGATGGTCTCACTCCCAAACAACGGTACGCAGAAAATAGAGCTTCAGAAGCAGCCCACAACGAATCGTCAGCGAACCTCGCAAGTCATAAACCATTGACGTCAGAAGACAAAAGGCTGTACGGGACTTGGTGGGGAGGGTCTCAAGCTGCTTCAACAAACCTTGACATAGCAGCATCACGGACTGTTTTGAGGGATGATGATAATTTCCAGAGCCTATCAACATTCCAAGCCCCAGAACGACAAATTGAGATTGCTCGGCTTTACAAAGACTTGAGGAACACTCTCGCAGAGAATCGAGCGGAAGACCAGCGCAATCTGTACTGCTACGCTCGTTTACGCAGTCGAGGACGTCTTGCTTGGTGGCCCCAAGGACCAGACGTACAAAATATCCTTTGCAACGCCGTTGTCTCCAAACCGAGACCAGAGATATCAATCCTGGCATGGCTTTGCCGCGGTGAAATCGGCACTTGGGAAGTGCAGCATCTACCAGCTTCCGCTGAATTTTGGAATGCTGCAGTGAATTCGCAAGACTTCAATGGGTCTCAACGCCTCGAACTCTTCCTTCTCCTCCTCCAATTTGGTGCTCGCGTCGAGACACGATTATCTTTTTCGCCAGAACAAGCGAGAAGCGCTGTTCTCTTCGAATTTCTGCAGAATTGCAGAAGAGCTACTATCCGTACGGTAATGAAGGAAATATGTCGTCGATTTGATGAGGTAAAAGATGAGGAACAAATCTCGTCATCCACTCGGTATTATTTTACTGGACAGCCGGAACTTCAGTCATCGGAAGCCAACAGTGTTGTTGTGACCACATTTGGAGCGGATTTATATGCAGCAGGCGACTACACTGACGCATTAAATGTCCTGAGCTGCTGGCGTTTTGTCCATGCGACACAACTTCGATACATTTCTCAGGGCCACGGACAGGGAAGAGATTGGTATCGACTGCCCGATGAAATCCAACCGCTCGTGCAATTGCCTATAGGCTGGGAACAAATCAAGGAATTGAATGGCGTAGCCTTCAGGCTTCCATGTTTCAGAGACTCAATTACTGCCTCGATCACACTCCGAAAGCCAAAACGTAGCCTTCTTCTCATGAGGCAGATAGCTCTCGGTTTCAACACTCCAGATAACCAAGAGAGCTGTTACATCGATATTGCTGCCTTTATTAGGCCAGAGAGCAGCCGGGCGGCCAAACAAATCGTTGACCAAGGCATCAACCGACGATTTCGCTCCTACGATGACTCTTGGTTTAACCTGGAGCAGTATGGTCCATTGCCTTCCGATGATGTGTTAAAAGCTTTAAAAGACGACGCAGAAGCTCACCTACCTACCTTCGCAGACCGTATCAAACCCTTAGAATCAATATTTTCGATTATTTGGACGTTCTTAACGTCCATACTTCCTTCCGCTTTGTGGATTGTTGTGGTGTTAATTATGACAAGTCTAACAGTCATGAGCATAGTAGGGACAGTATCTCTCTTCGTAACGTTGATTGTACTTCTATTTTCCGTTCCACTACCTGGGGCGATCCTTACTTGGCCTCTTGCAATAATCTTATGCTTGATTGCCCTCTCTGCTCTTCTGGCCTCAGCGAAAGGAGGAAGACGACGAGGAAGACGACGAAGACCATGGATGCGATAGATCAGGGATCTAGTTTTAAGGCCGAACATCTATTCATTCACGTATATAAGTTGAGTTCAGTGTGTAGCCATGAGCGGCTGTGTGGGAATGTTAAGCTCTCATTCTCGGAGATGAGTGAAAAGTTGCGTCTGGGATATTTAGAGCCTTTTTTTACAAATCCTGGGTTATGGAGCTGAAAAGCAACTGCCCATGACTGTCATAAGCGAATTATTTGCTAGCATCACTCAAGGCGGGTACTTTCAAAGGGGGGTGGAGGGGGGGGTCTCCAGTGGTGGGCTTCATGCGGGGCAAATTGAGATTCTTGCGGTGTGTATAAGCTCAAAACCAGAGAGCTGAAAAGAACCAGAATTGAGGATGAAGAGAAACCCCGAAGCAATGTTCTGAGCTCCTTTCTTTGAAAGGGATCTCAGATGTATGAATGGAAATGCTTTGACTGTCTAGCAATGACTACACTTCAGCCTTGTGGTTCAAAATTGGTGAAGAGCGCCTCAGTGACAACTCACAGCTGATTCTCGTATTACTCTTCAGGAGTATTCCCAAAACATCCTCTCATACGACCCTCAGAAGCACACCATCAGAGTTATTGCCAATCTCAAAGTCCCCCTGCAGAATTGACTCCCAAAGGATACTGACGTAGCTACTAATCTTCAACCTCCCGAGCCAAAAGCACGCTAAGGCTCTCCACCAATCACAAGTACAACTCTCGTTAATACTGTATAAGGTTAAATAAGCAGTTCTTTGCCATATCCTCTGAGACAGCGGCTTCCAGGGTTTAGATGCTTGCGACAGTGATCGTGCCTCTCTACTCTCTCGTGAATGCTTGAAATACGAATGCCTCAAGAATCAGCAGCCTCCAGGGCTTAGATGCTTGCGATCTATCGTGCCTCTCTAACCTCTCGTGTGTGCTTGAAATACGAATGACTCAAGATTATCCCCTTTAAACCCCATACTGGCTATGGTGTTGGACACTCCTTCGGGAGTGAAGTTTTTGCTTCTGATTTTAGTATTTTGGCTTTTGTGTTTGCAAGCGAAGAGGTCCTTTTTAAGTGAGATCCGCACTTTCTTTTAGAGTTAAGATTACACGCTATGGAGCAGAGCCTGCAGCATCACTATCACTTCTAATTCTCTTCTAAAGACTTGGTATTTAATGAAGACAATGACGAATAAGTCGTCACGGTTTCTTAATTCATATTTAGAAAGCCTCATACTTACCTAAATCGCTCTTACGACTGACTGTCAATACAAAAGGGTTACTGTGAGGTTTTGTCTGATAATAGGATACAAAAGTGAGGGTAGGCAATAATGAGGTAGTTAACAAAAGTAGACCTCAATAAACATCTAGGTAGGTAAAGTAAACGAATTTTGAGTATTTGAGAGACAAATCACACGTTTCTTTCTATTGCCAGACAGATCACACTCATCTGAAAGTGCCACACGAAAGTCCATAAATACTCTTTTGTACTAAATGTCAGCCGTACTCTGTAATGAGATCTAGCAGATATACTACGTGTTCATGCCTGATTTTGGGATCTTTTGTGCTGATAAGATTTCTGCCTGTCCCATCAACACATTTAGGTTAAATGACGTTAATAGAGCAGATACACTTAGCGCATGTAGTGCGAGAATGAGAAAAATATATTTCATCGTGAGGAGGCGCATTGTTTTTGATGAAGCTGGAGAACTCCTGAAGATAATTGGTTTTGGATTTCATTTTCCAACGGATCGTAAGTCATGTAGCCAAGTGGCGCAAAATGTTGGAAATGGCATTGTGGACGGTAAAGACTAATTGTGCACGCGGCCAACCTGCAGCCAAGCTACATCCTACAAACGCGCGCTTGTTCAGCCTCCTCAAGGCCAACACCGCGTCCTTTGACGGGTGTAGCATTCGGCTGCTGCTACCACTCGCTATCAGTACCGCATGACTTCTTCTTGGACCCGTCTCCCTCCAACAACAAACCAAAGCTTTCAACTCTTGCACCATGTGGCATTCTTCCACCCACATCTGTCTAGCCTTCGCATGCCTTCTCAGCTAACTATCAACGGCAGGCCTACGGTTCTACCGCGAATTCCGACAACATCAGGCAGAAAAAATTGCCTTCGCTAAAGCCGAAAGTCTGGCTCATCCAAGAAATACAACACAGCTGGTCTTTGGCCCGCAACTCTACGAAGCACCATTGCTTTGTGAATACCCGTCAAACCCTGGACTTATCATCCCACAGGCTTATTGTGTCAATCTCGGCTGCGACCATTCGATAACAGACCACCAGGCAGTCATCGTTGACGATATTCGGCCCTTCATCTGGCAATCCGTCCAGACACAGTATCTTGAGAAGGTATACTCGGTAAAGCACGTTGACGATTGTCTTCTCAGGGCTATTCGATCGGACCCCAAGGTCGTGTTAGTCACGTGTGATTTCTACGATGATAACGTCTTCGAGTAAGAAAGTGGGAGAGATGAAGAGTTGGGTCTGAAAAGATAGCGTGGGGTGGATGAATTGACGTATAGAAACCTTGGCAGCTCAAGTGGTAAGTTCTCGAAAGCAATCATGGAAAGGTGGAATACTTTGCTAAAACAGATCTTATGCTAGAGTGATTCAAATTGCCATAATCTTAGTTGAATATGATGCTCATGGCTCAAGAATATTCGAGGACGTTGCCAGACAGTGCGATTATTGTCGAAGAGATAGAGAATGAAGACGAGGATACCCCTTTCTGCATGAACTTCATCAAAAGTAACTCATTGACCGCACGACTTCCACGAATGTGACATACTAGAAATAGCCAGCAATCACTTTCAATTTTCTAATTCTGGTCTAATCTTCCAGAAGGTTCCAATCTCTTCAACACACATTCCACATCAATGCCCCAGAATCAGATTGCGCCCCAACATTACGTACAACCGCGCCAAAACAAGCAGACCAAAGGAGAACGACGCTAATAAATTGGTATCATAATGAGTGGTATCCTCCACGCCATGCCATGCATTATCAAATTCCGAAATCAATGCAATCTGACAAAGGAAACAATTTGCAAAGAATAGTCGAGCACCAAAAATTTTCAAAGCCTCACCACCAAGCAAGAAGTCAAGCCACCACCGCCACTACCAAGAAGAATTTTAAAGCGCTAGCCAAATCTCCAAGAAGCCAAGATCAAGGAAATGACTCAAGGAAGCCACATAAAGAAATTCTACTCCTTGATGTTCGTTTTAAACATCAAAGCTTCAAAATCGAAGGCGAAGAAGGCGTCGAAGCGAGACGATCTCTGAGCAAGACTCGCAGATCAGGCTTCTCCCAAAGGGTATAGCCCTTAGTATCTCGCTCCCAATCAATCTCATCGCTGTTGAACCAGGCGAGATCATATTGCCAGAAGAGTTTTGCCAGCACCATGCGCATTTCTAGGTATGCCAAGCTGTGAGTCGAATTAGTACTGATATTGTGGGAAGAGGCGAGGGAGATGTACTTTCGTCCAAGACAACCTCGTGGTCCGTATGAGAATGGCAGACTGGTTTCGAGTCTGTCTCCACCTTGTCCTTCGGGCTCGTTCTTCATCCAGCGTTCGGGGATAAATGCGCTTGGGTTCCAGAAGTTGAGGGGGTCGCGGAGGACGGACCATTGGTGGACTGATACTCGAGTCTGCAAGAAATTTTCGTCAGCATATGAATGGCAAGGCAGAGGAAGGAAGTCAAGGATGGAGAAAAACTGACGCCTTCAGGAATCCACTCCCCCTCAATCTCGCATCCACCTTTGGGTACGATCCTACTCAAGTGTCCCGCACCAGCAGGTGGATAGATCCTCAACCCCTCTTCAACGACCGCATTCAAATATTCGCATTCCATCAATGCTTTACTGGTTATTTCGTCTAGACCGTTGAACCGAGTTCGGACTTCGTGTTGGAGTCGAGAAAGAGCAGCTCTGTTGTGGCCTAGGTAGTAGGTTACACCTGCAAGGAAAGTTGCCGTTGTGACTGCACCCGCCATCATTATCACGTTGAAGTGGGAACCCATTTCGAGATTTGTGGGATGAGGACCTTTGGAGGTGAGGATGTGGTACGTGAAGTCTTTTCGCTTGGTCTCGATCTTGAGGCGACTGAGAAACAAAGGTCAGCAAATCATACCTCCTAATCTGCGTAGTGAAGAAACTTACGCCTCAGTATGCTCAGTCGCATATTCGGCATGTCGATACAGCGTCTTCTTCATAAGACCCGTCTTGTACCATTCCAAGAACGAGAAGAGACCTGGAATAACGCAAACTGCTCGCATAACGTCATTCATGTAGGTTGTGTCTACAATAACATCTGCCCAATGATATCGATGTTCTAGAACAACTCGGTCAGTCACGAGTTGTGGGTGGCACAGCAGCGCGCTGTCTTACCAGGTTGTTCTTCCAGTCGCTTATCAAAGGAGTCGCCGAACGACATCTCTCCTGCAAGGTACCAATATCAGCCGCCGTGGTAATGTAAAGAAGCAAAAAATCAATAAAGTGCTTACCCATGATGTTGAAAGTGACATAATTGAATTGTTGCACAATGTTGAATCCTCGCTTCCCACTTCCATTGGCATCCTTGTTCACTTCTGCCAGGGTCTTAACAAATTGGTCTGTTCTTCGAACAAGCACATCTTCGTTCTCCAGTAAGTTAGAGTTGCTGAATGCGAAACTCAGCATTCGTCGCATTCGTGAATGTTCCTCACGGTCCGTCTCATTAATAATGTTCATCGAATGGTCGACTTCAGGGGTAAAGAAGATGGGGTCCTTGATCATCGACGGCACGCTCCGAGTCCCAAAGCCATAGATGAATTTTTGAGCGGCATGTGAGCTGAAGCTTAGATGGTTGGGAGCGATCCGTACGATCGGGCCTGCAACAGGGATGTTAGCTGAGCTTCTGTCTGTGCCACAGGAAGGTTTTGCAACGGGCGGGCCGTCCCGTTGCTAGGGCCCAAAGTGTCAGGGATGAGGTTGTCACCGAGCGCGAAAAGTGAGAATGAGAGCGAGAGCGACATACCCCATTTCTGATGCCATCTGTGATTTCTCCATGGGCCACGTCCCCCGAGGATTGTGTAGTACCAGAAGCCCTTTCATGAGGTTAGTAGTGTGAGAGAATAAGGGAGCCGTGGGATGCGCTGCCACGTACATTGGAGATTGGTGCCAAGAATGGTCCGCGGAACCGTGCGAGGGCATGAAAATATTTCAAATAAATAATTTGTGCGAATGAAGAACAAAATATCTTCTCTTTGTTAGTTTGAATGATTGCCTTTCAGTTCAATTGAATACTCACCAGGACCGCAACGATCAGAATTGGGTGGCGCAAGATGGATTCTGCTCCTGTCAGAAGCCAGGATTTGATCGCGGCTAAGGCGGTCTGAAAAGCTTCCTGGAGCGACGCTGCGAGCATTGTGAGGGTAGTTTTGGAGGGAAAAGAAGTATGTTACAAGGACAGCCCGTGCTTCGGGGTGGAGATGGCTCTTAAGTCTGCGCTGCAAAACAATCACACCACCGGGAATAGTAAATGGTCGAGGAAGTCATCTCTGCATCCGTTGCAAATCAGGCTACATTTGGGTAGGCTATTATATTCTCTGTCCCTGTTCTTATAGAAAAACATACTTTTGTGGAGATACATTAGTGGAAGGTGCCATGTCACCGCGCTACGGCCCACTGCGGGCATGTTCCTTTTGCGTCCCGAAGGTTTGGGACGAAGGTTCAAGGGATGGAGGTATATCCGTTTCTGTCCTTCCCAGTGACACAATGGCCCCATGGGCACCGCAATCGGCACGTCGTTGTGCAAATCTGCAGCGGATTTCGAGCTCGAGGCGCTCGGCAGTCCCAGCTTTGGGCGAATTAAGTACCGATTTGGGGCCACACTACATAGAGGTATACGCAACCCATTGGTGTACTCCGCTTGTGGCCAAATGATAATGATAATGCTGAGAAAACGTATTTATAACAGTTTGATACCCCATAACCGCCTCATGAAACAGAGTAATTGATCACCGCGGAGTTCCAATGATTCAAAGAGTTCCGTAACCGCCTCAGCATATTCAATCGTTAGATGTCAAGTCATGCAGTCAGACTCCACTTGAGAGTGGTGACCTTATCACAGTTGGATCTAGAAACACGGGTTGACGACGTCTCCGAAGCCGTTCAAAACTCTGGGAATTCTTCTGCTGCTTCTACCGCTCGGTAACAGACTGGCGAACCAATAGTAGTAGCCAGCTGATAATATGGTCCTGCTTCATACATCCTAGTGTTCCGTCTCTTCTCTCGACCCCTCTCGAACTACGAGCTGGAAGCGGTCCCGATACGACACCGCCTTGGTCTTGGGAAAGATCCTGCAGGACATCGGGGAAAATCTAGTTGAAGCTATCTTTGCCCCGTATGCAGAATGCTCTACGTTACACCAATGGCTCGATAACACGGAGCAGAGTTTAGCAAAGAGGGTTAGAATCAAGTTATAGAGCGGCAAGGGTGGGGTCTGGTGGTGTTTTCTCGGGCTTCCAGACATTGAGCTGCAGCCCGCATATGAATTGATGATGTTGAGTGGAGGATAAAGGCAAAGCGGATTGACGAATGCGACGTGTTCATGTCGACGTTAGGTAGCTGGCAAGGGGTATGTAAGCAGCCGCGCTAAGCAGACAGTATGTGAAAGTCTTTCGGACTGGAAATTTCGGAGGAGATCACGAATTAGTGACTACTACTGCGGGTCTTTGAGTGACGGCCACGGTGCTCAGGTCTATCAATCTGACTTCACAAGAGGTCTTGGAAATCTGAATGTGGGCATCGCTCTCTCTTGCAATAGCCGAGCTCTTACCGCCTCGGTTCGAATGAAGAGAAACACCGCGAGCAAATGAGGCAGCTGTCTGAGTATTATCGGTGAACCGTACGATCACTTCTCTACTCGTGTCGTTCAGGGAAGTAGTCGTCGATTAGCCTTGGAGATGTTGTCAATCAGAAAAGCTTGTCAAAACTTTCTTTCGGTTGATAACCGTGGCAGGGAGACCGCTGCTGCGAGTGAAGATCAAGTGAAAGGGTTAGATTTCCGGCTTCCGACTGTAGCCCTGAAGCGGACTGACCGAAGTAACATTCGATAAAGTCCGTGTCGATTTGTATTCAAGATTGCGGAGGGTGACCTGCTTATATATAGACATTCCCATGGCAATCCTCACACCTCAACCGACCCCACCAAGCCCATCCTAGTACCATTCCAACCTTCGGTTGTCCTCTACACTTCCCATACCCACAACCCTAAGGCAGCTTCAAAATCTGACTTACATTAAGTCTCCAATGTCATCAAATCACTTCCTTTTGCCAATTCAAAAGAATCGTTCTGTTGCACATCGTATCCGCGCGCGGCCGCCCCCCTGTCGACCGCACATGCACCCGCTACATTTTGCCAGCGCATCGATATCCAACCGGAGGCGAGTCACGGGTAAAAGCAACACGCCTGGAACGAATGCGAGCTGGAACAAGTAATCTGGTTACTGGAAGAAGAAAAGTTCTGCGGTAGACGCCGCAGGAGATATATTATGCTGTTGGCTCTTCATTCGAGGTGCTTTGATGATGGTTGTTTTTCTTGTTGGCGGAGTTGGTTTGAAAGAGGGATTGAGATAAGCGAGTTTTAACCCCTCCATACCCCGCCCCCTATTTTGTTTATGCGCTCCATGCCTTAATATGCAGTACCACCTCAAAAATGCGGTGGTTTAGAAGGGGTACCTTGACGCTGCGGCTCAGCCTTCAACGGTGTACCATGCACGCTTCAGCTGTTCTCCAGTCACATTTTCCACATCCATTGTCGTTGTTTTTGATCCTTCCGCTTCATGCTTGATAATATCAAGCAGGCATTTTTCAATTAAGAGCTGTGCGGTGCGGCTTGTCACAGGACGCAAGTAATATGTCAAATTTCGCCTTGCATCGCAGTGGATACTAAGTCTTGACTGCATGTTGAACATGCACATGACTCCGCCACCTTATGCAACGCCATACAAAAGAAGGCAATGGCTTTTGTTGCACGTCGTAGGGAGGCCACGAGACATTGAAAGGTCTTGGTCAAGTCATCTACTCCACCCGATGCTGAAGTTGTCTAGTCTGATAGGCGTTTCTGGGCACAAGTGTCATTTAAAGGAATGATCAAGGCTACCAACATTCAAACACCAGAAAAGTGTCTGAGGCTTGAAATCCAAAGACAGATCTCAAGATGGATGTCGGTAGAAGTGCTGAAGAATAGCTTCCATGCTCCAGAGAAGCGTTGGGCGATTGTGCTTGCCATCATTTCTAATCCAAAGTGTGGGGCAGTGATCCCTCTTGGTTCAACTTCGGGTCCCAGTCGAAGTCGAGAGACGAGCGGGACTTGGTGAGTACAAAGCTGGGGAAAGTATCAATAGGTGCAGCTATTATTGGACAGGGGGAACTCAAATCATCATCTGCAAGTCAGCCGGGAGCAAGCGAGGAGCTATACTTAATGTAGACACATAACCTTCTTTTCTCTGTTGATGTATGTAAATGTTGCAACAGGTGTTATATATCTGACTTAGAAAGTACTAGGACGATAGTAACAAAACAGGCTGCAAAGCTACTGCAATTGAAACAACCGTGCCAGTCCACCAATGCCGCCTTCGAAGCGCAAATCGTAGTAAACTATATTGAGATGAGCATCGAAAACATACCGAAAGCTATCAGATCCGCTACTATGTGTCAATTCGATAGTCACTAAGATGAATATGATTGGTTGAAGAGCATAGTGGTAACATTGATTCATTACTCGCGCAACACTAACTCGCTACTTGCGCTAACATGCTTCATGATTGAATACAAGGAATGAGACGCGCCCAGCAACATATCACGCAGAAGTAATTACAACCTCTACAGGGTTTCGCGCAATTCAACAAGCCAAACCAAACGAGCAATCATAAAATTATGCACTTCCGCACTTCACCTCCCCATATCTCCCTTCACAACATAACAACTGCCCCAACTCCAGCAGCAGCCATAGCCCCCATGGCCCACACATGAGCATTCTGCTGTCCAGGAGCACTGTTGCCCGTAGCAGTTGAACTCGCTCCAGTACTCGTTCCACTCACTGCAGCAGCAACGAGAGTGGCAGTCTCCGTCACGAGAGCTGTCAAGACACTTGTCCCAGCCGTGCCTGTGCTCGTACTAGTGACCGTCATAGTCGTCGTTGACCATCCACTGCTTCGTCCATCTGTACAGCTGTAGGTAAAGAATCCATTGTTACCCGGGTTACCCCAGCCTGATGGTCCCCATCCGGTATGGGATGAAAAGCTACAAGCTGACGGCGAGGCAGAGCAGCTGGAATAGACGGAGCAGATAGAGGAGGTGATGCCAGATAATATCGAGATGGCGGTGGATCTAGCGGCATCGGTAGCAGTGACCGTGCACGCTGAATCGATGCAGCTTGAGAGTGAGGTAGGAGTTGCGCAAGGTGAGGCCCAGGAAGTGGATGCTGTTGCGGGGAATGCGGACGATAAGCATGATTGCTTCTAGGGTGTTAGCATGTGCAGCATGGATCTTAGTGGAGACTTACAGCGCATTCTGGGGCAAAACCCCATTCCCAATTCCAAGTCCAGTCTCCGGGTCCATCGCAATGCGCGAGTTGGACAAGACTAGTCAGGACGAGCAAGGAGGCTGTTTGAAATTTCATTATGATTTTTCTTTACCTGAGAATATAGAATTGAATATAGAATTGAGAGAAGGTACATAAATTATCCACAAGTTGCTCAAACTTATATATCAAACCCAGCCAAGAAAGCCTGAGCAGGTCATCATGACTTCTTGCTTGCGTCTTCCAGGACTAAGCCACCATCGTAAAGTGAAGCTCAATTGGAGCAACGAGCGAGATACTGCTCACTGTGCCTTCCTTCACCTGAAGTGGGATTAAACTTAATTGGCACAGAGTTGTGTTTCAGAATAACGTTTAGAAGTGTATGCAGTGAGATGACGTGGCCTGGTGTGGTCAGATATCCGACGAGATTGGCCAACAGACTACAGATGTCAGCAAAATGAAATGCACGTGATGGCTATGCACACCAAGAAATCTTGGCGAAGTGATTGACCAACAGCAACAGAACGACGGAGTCCGAGTATGCTCGCGAAGCTTGCGCAACCATCTCACAGACACGTACGCTTTTGTCCGAATCCTGAAATTGTGATAGAAGAGCTGGCGGTGAGGTTCCTGACTAAGGTCTTTGAAAGGTGACCTTCTCTGGGTATGCCGGAAAGGTGAATGAACGAATGCGGAGGAACGAGTCTGAAGGAACGAGTCCGAAAGTAACTACCTTTCCACGACGTGTCTGGTGCTAGCTGAGACTCTGGGAGGCAGCAGAAACTGCAAAGGCGGAAAATGCCCAAGATGGGCAAAGCGTGCTGGTTGTCCAACCTGCGACCAGAATATAGAATACACAAACGAACAGAAAGCATAGGGACATGAGAAGATGCATTGGGGCTTGAGAAGTTGTTTTCCAATTCTAGAGCTTTTGGATGAAATATTATGGCAGACAGAGTTTGGCCATAAAACTCACAGACTTAAACATCATTTTCCAATCAAAAGACCTAGCGCATCCCGTTGGAAATTTAAATATGCTTCGAGGCTGACACATAGCAGTGGAAAGCGTAAATTTAGCGGGTTGTTACGACTTCGTAAGCTGCTCGACATACGAGTGGGATGTGAGAAGTTACAAAATCAGAAACCCAGCCACAGAGAGAATCATCTCCGTGGTCCCGAGCGACTCGTAGTGTGAGTCGTGAGGTTGGTTCAAGCAGCCCCTCGGCTCATCTCGAGCCTTAGCACCATACTTCTCCGTATCTTCTATACAATATATGTTTACCACCCAACAAAGATCACATATCACCTTCGTATAGCTACCAAGCTCCAAAACTCAGTGCGGCGGCTTCGTGTACTAGTAGCTTTCCCCGACTCATAATTTGCGAACTGTCTTCTGGGAAGCCTCATGCTCGATCAGGAGATGCAGAGTATGGAGGCTACCAAGATCAATTATCGTAAGTCTCACGAGAGGCGTGAGAAGGTATGTGAACTGATGGTCTTCTTGCGTCCTTTCCCCCCGGAATCTTTGCTTGACGGTCCTCCACCGAACGTTTCCGAGGCCCAGCGGCAGATATCGTTATGCCATCCAAGTGATTGAGGAAGGTAGGACTGAGTTTCGAGATCGTGCTTGTGCAATGGTCGCAGGTAGGCTTAGTGGTACATGATCCTCGAGACGTTGTTGGGTGTCAACCCTGTACACGAAGCAACGGGGCAAAGGTCGGACCGTCAAGCACGGCAGATTTCAGAGATGTGTATATTGGCTGGCGATCAAGGACTCGTCGTGACGACATGTTGTTGAAGCTGCTCTGGTCTTACGGAGCCGCAATTGAGGTCTGTCGTCGAATCTTGCGACAAGAGCGGAGCTTACCCAAATAGGAAAGGTCAACTCTTTCTCACATTATGCTTTCTTTTGTAATCTTCCACACCTTCACTACACATTGGAGACGTAGAATGATGTACTGGAGGCTGCTTTTAGGATTGATTGCTCTTGTGAGGTTACCTATACATTCACGAATCTTTCCGACACAGACACAACCTCGAAATCAACATACGACACGTTTCAGGACAGTAATGAAAAGCAGACTACAGGACTCAACGATTATTAGAATTCCGGGAAGTCTGCAGATACCCCAAAAACGTGCCTGAAAAGAACATTTCAGGAACTTTCCCATCCAATCCTTTTGTTCTCCGACTGCATCAGACGCGAGTATCTCGTCGCCTAAGCTCATCCTCGATCCTCCACCTGCAAGCCGTCTCAGCGATCTCCAACTCCAGCTTCACATTCTTGTGGACGAGCTCTTTGAACACAAAATGGGGAATCCTCCATTGCTTGCCATCCACACGAGCCTCAGTGTTTAGAAATTCTATATTCCTCTTGTCGATTTGAAGCAGCGAGGTATCGATCGTAGGCACTGAAGGCATCTTAATTTCAGATGCATTATCTTGAGATGAGGGATCATACTCGTTCCAAGCTGAAACAGCCTCGCTGATGCAGATAGGTCTTCTTACATCTATGAAGGCATATGATGGCATGTCACTCGGGTCTTTCCTCGACCATATTCACACCTGCATATTTCTCGGGTCTATCCAGATTGGTTCGGACTTTCTGATATGATTATGCGCGCTTAGTTGCTGTAGCTGAACATCGAACCCATACAAGTCATCCCATCTCCACAAGTATCTTCCACAAACACGGAGAGTTACTTCTTTCGCATTAACTACTCATAATCGTGCTTCCACTCATTCAGAATTAGGCTCATACATATCGTACTCATTGTCCCACATTCCTTCCTCAGCTTCCGCTATTCGCTCGTCGATCTCCCCTATCGTGCGCTCACAGTCTTTCTGTAATTCCTCCAACTCGGCTCTCGTTTTTCGAGGCAATAATGTACTTTCTTGGATTACAGGCAGCGTCCAGAATCCTTCGCGTTGATTCAGTAGTATCAATTCTGACTCATCAAAACGAACCTACTTTACACAAGGGACTTCCGGCATTTCAAGAGTTTTACCGTAGTAGCTATGAAATTCGTCCTCATTATACTCGAAATTGTGGTACGCATTGAATGCCTCCTCAACATCGATTGGGTCGTCGGTAAGGCAGAGATCAGACTGTTCGAGGGCTGATAAGTTCGAGTCGTGATAATGCTGAGCAACCAGAGAGAGCTGCTTGACACTTGGAAAGACCCTTAGTACTTCTGCAACCCTTTTCTCGTCGAAGTGAGTTTTCCGAGATGAAATTACTTGGATGGCCAATCTTTCGACTTTGAAAAGATTATCGAAATCTATGAAACCATTCCAGACATCAAGCTGGGGCGCAGGGCTGGTAGGTTTTAGTCGGTATCTGTTGAAATTGCGCCAGGTCATGTAAAGAGTATCCAAGGTGAAGTCGAAGTATGTCTCGGGGTTCGACTGAGGACACGCAAGAATAAGACTGTAACGCTTCAGAGCCACGTCGCGAGCTTCATGGGATACTAGCAACAGTGATGGTGGTGGTGTATTGCATGCGACCCCCATCAAACTAGCTTTTTTGTAAGATCGTCCCGACAGCTTCGAGATCCAACCCCGAGCACGTCTTCCTTGTTCCTCGAGCTGCGCTTTGCTCGCATATCCTGTCCTCTCAGCTCTCCCTGCTTGTCTTGGATGCGTTCTTCTGTCGAGCGGTGGCCAGATGGCATTGTTCTCCTTCTCCCAAGCTCCAATTGTTTTCTTCAAGCATTTTTGCTGGATTGACACGATTCTCGGTTCCTCCAGACCCAAAGCTGTCTCCCAAATCAGCAAACGTAACTCCTTGGGAAGCTCCGGAAAGAATTCAAATTCCTCCATTGTCGATCGGCGGTTCGTGGTCCTAGGTGATTGCGATGTTGGATTGATGGTGTGATGTTTTGTTTTGTTTTTCTTAGGTCGCTTTGCGAAAACCTCTTGCCACGAAATAGACGCGTTGGAACGTGCGCTGCGAAGATGGGTGCACGTGCTATGAGATATCTCAAACATCTACAACGTAGGGACACCTAGCCGGTAGCGTTGATTGAGATCAGTATTGAATCAAAACGTCAAGTGGCGAGCTCTCCCAAAATTACTTTATCTGACAATTGATGAGGCACCATCACGTGGAACCTAATGTATCCACAGAGCGCTTTCCGCACTTTGTCTACCTAGTATCGACTACTTAAGAGCCCACATGTTCAAATATTGATACTTTTTGTGTATCACAACAGGGAATCTGAAATATTTTTCGACCTTTCGAATAATTTCATGAGAAAAAGTGGCTACTTGAGTTGATTTCCAATCAGTCGCATAGTCTCAGAGGGGTTCATGTAAAGATTAAACTCAGTTCATATGAAGTTGTACGTAAGTTCTAATTGATAATTCTAACCACAAAGGGGCTCTTATGCTCGAGTAAATATATGCAACTTTATCAGGGTCTTCAGTCTCGCACTACCTTTTAAAGTTTGCAGAATCTCTCCGCTGTCTCGTAATCTTCTCGTACCCCTCCTACAATATCGCAGGTTTCACATGTCACTCCGCATCGGAAAGCTCCGATTGGTAGGCACGCCCTGAACTCTTCAATTCTTGCGCTGATGCTTTCAAAATCGTGGGTTACTCTACTTAGTAAACAGTACCCTGCTTGGTCACAACAGGATATTTGTATGTTCCATTCGTGAGCGCCGGAGTAGGCCCATACCACCTCACTAAAATGCTATGTCAGCAAATCTGGCATGCGAATTCAAAGCCCAGTAGCCAGTAGCACGTACAATTCACAGCAAACTCTCCCCCACCCGCAGGTGCAGGTAACCAATTAGTTGTCCAATTTGCACTTGGCGCTTGGTCAGCTGGTTGAATCAAAATAGAGAATGCTCCATCATTGGTCGAATTGGCATAAACCTGCGTCCCATCTGCATATGTCAAATTGCTTCTGTCGCCAAGCGAGTACCTATCCAAAGCATTGGGAACAAGATAGTTTGTGCTATTGTATGCTGTCAAACTCCAGAAACCTGTCACGGGAGGCTTTCCAGAGAAATTCATGATATAGGATTCGTTGGCCGCCAGTTGAAGCGAACCTGAGGCAGTAGTGACAGTTGGGTCGAGGTATGTGGGGTATTCGGCCTCAGAGGGAGCAAGTTGGAGGTAGCCGTACCAGGCAATACACGTACGAGCAAGGTAGTGAGTATGATAATCGCCACTCAGGCTCGGGAGGAGGTTGAACCAGCCATTCTGATCAAAGCCGTGGTTGGACTGGTTCGCGAAGAAAGATTGGACTTGGTCGCCGATGATGGTGGAGACTTTGTCGTAGTCGAGTCCTTCTGGAGAAGTGTATTGTCCATCGTCGATTCCAGCGACGCTGAACATGTCGTTAACTTGCTTAATATCTGACCTGTCTTCTGGTGGATTCACGGCATTGACTTGAGCGAGCAGTTGAAGAGTCTCCGTTGCTTGGGTGAGACTAAACTCGAAAGGGAGCAGGAGTGCAGCATTCGAAAGCTGGCCATTGCCAAGCAATGTTGGTGTGAGTAATGGTGCCAGTGGCTCCTCTTTGCGTTCAATTGTGGTAATATTGAGCTGTGCTTGGATGGCGTGGACAGCGTTAAGATCTGTTCCATTGTTGTTCACCACAATTCGGAACATGATACTTCCGTATACCGTTGCAAACTTGATGACTCCTTTATACTTCGTGTACTCGCTGTCTGTTTCATTGAATATCCGAATTCCAGGTTCATCATTTCGAGAAATTGTGATCAGGTAATCTCCAGGAGAGCTTTGGTTGACAGATCCGACATTCGCAAAGTTATTTCCATATCTATTTTGAGGATTGTTTAGAATGCTAGATTATGCCTTTATGGGAATTGAGATGATTAGAAGATACTCACAAGTCGTAAAAAGGGGCCACGTAGAAACGGTTATTTGGGACCTCGGGAATGGAAAGTATAAGGTCGGAGTGCGAAAGATCAATTACAACTTTCGAATAGAGCGTATCAACATTTGGCCGGACTAGCACTTCAGAAGTCGCTGTTGATAGCTTGGCTTGGTTCTGAAAAGTATTTGGTCCTACAGCGCTAAGTACCGGCTCAAATGTCTGAACATACAACGCGAGCGGATACCCGTACTACATGATTAGACTTCTTTCGTGATGTAAGGAAGATTTGAACATACGATCAGAGCAAAAGCTGTAGCATTATTAACGTCTATGGAAGAATCGTGGGATAGAAGCTCAGCTGTGATGCTCGTGCTCATTGCCAGGATAAGCACTGAAAACGAAGGTCGGAGATGCATTTTGGAAAACGATGAATTGCGAAGATCTAATGTTCCAAGGCAAGGAAGGATTTGTTGAAAGGCTCTTGAAAGACGCATGCGCCCAAACAGTCTCAGATCAGTGCTTATATATGAGAAATATCAATGGAACATCCGATCATCCATCAAGGGCTATACCTCAAACAGTGCTCACTTGCTCAAAACCCTCATCTGGTCATCATTGCGGGATCCACACAAACTTTAGTTCAAGTAATTCACTGGCCCAACGCGCGAATTGATCTCTTGAAGTGCCAAGCGGGATTTGATCATACAAAAGAGTCTAGAAATTAATCATTCTATAGGGGAAACAGGGACCATGCAGTCAGAGCTCGAATGGGGTGCCGCATTCGGTTAGACTCAACCTTGTCAGACTTCGAGGTCACTCGAAATGGTTTAGCTCAAAGCATCAAATCAAGAACAGCAGTATCAACAACTACCATACAATTGGTCGCCGCTCTGAAAGGCGTCACAGCCACTTCGAGACATGAGGGGCGGGGTAAAGTAAATGTTTCGCTGATACAGGACTGGGCGTCCAAGTCGCTAACGGGAAAGGGAATCTCATCATTGGCGCTGTCAAGCTCGACTACTAACTTATTATTGTGCTAGTAAGGATGAATTATTGAAGTGTTATACAAAGTCATCCGATATAAAGCTTCATTGTGCGTGAAAAAGATTGGGGTCAAAAAAGAAAAGACGTTCCGTCATATACTTCGATTGACAAGTTAGAGAGTCCTATAAGCATGTCCATTAAGATCTCAGCGGACTTGAACGTCTACTGGTGACGTTATCATTCTGCACTTGCTGTCACGTGCAGATTCAAGCAATTTAGCTTGTCCTGCACTGCAGCCTAGCTACTTCCTCGCCCAGTTGGGCATAGATACTTTGTTTTAGCACTGAAAGAGAGATAATGATGTTGTCCATTGACAGTGCCTGCATATTATCCCTGCAGATCTAACTTACCTCGCTGTTTCCGGAGCATCCGGCTCTCTCTTGATTCTCTACCGCTGATCCAGTAATGTCCTCCCCCAATAGTTTTGTTCCCTTCGGAGCCCAAAAGTTTCCCCTCGGTACTCCTATCAGTTTGTATCACAACTTCTGCCTTTCTCTTCCCACCTCTTCTATCTACTTCTCCATGGTGTTGTTTGATCTCGTCCTCCCTCATCATCAATTGTCCCTCGACTTTTCCTTCAGCTGTTTGTTTCCTCCTCTGTTGGCTCTTGCACAAACTGCTGGGGCTGAATCACACCCTCACAACTTTGATGTGCTTTTTCTATAGTTGGGCCTGCAATTCCTGCTGCCGCGTAACATGTCGAGTGACGAGACAATTAAACCACGCCTCCTCTCTTTAACTTGACCCCTTCTGGATGCCGGTGGCCCCAGACCCCAATATCTTACCCGCGATGTAAGGAAGGGTCCAGCACCCATGACGCTCCTCCAACGCTCTCAGCATCGTCATGTTGAGTTTTTGATCTGTGATATAGAACTCATTTGGATCGATGCCATGAAACTCCGCTTCGGCCAGTATGTCGGACTCCGGGGGATCAAGTAAGTAAGAATCTGAGGCTGCCATGTGTTCATGGTCATTGCGCATTTCCAAAATAAAGAAGAGTTCTTTGACTCCATGGAAAATCTTAAGGACATCCGCAACAGCAGATTCATGAAAGAACGGCTGATTTGGCGCGACTCTAATGCCGAGTCGCTCAACTTTCCCAACATCCTCATCATCCTCTTGTCTGAAGCCCTGCCAAAAACCAACTCGAATGGTCCTAAGCATGTTGAAAGGACCAAAGAAACGTATAACATTCATTGAGAAATCATCCCCATCCAAACATAACGTAACTTGCTCGAAATTGAAATATGTCTCAGGATTCGAATTCGTGCGGGCAAAGGTGCGTTTGTAGAGCTTTGCAGCTACACTATAAGACTCTTTGCAAGCTAGAAAGACATATGGGACTGGTGTCTTGCATGCAATACCAATCATCTCTGCATCTTCATCCTCGGAAACACTATCTTCACTCCCGAGTCCTGAACGAAATGTACGCCAAGCACGAGTGGACGTGCTTTCCTGCTCTACATCGCCGTGACCATATGGTGGTAGACCCGAATCAGGTTCCCTCTTCTGGTTCTTAACATGCGATACTAACCGCTGTTGCTTGATGAACACAAGCCTGGGACCTGGCATAGCAGATGCCCAAATTTCTAATCTGATCTCTTTGGGGAGCTCTGGAAAGAGAGTGAATCGTGTCTCTACTTGCTTCGAATCTGCATTCTCCGACTTAGATCTGCCTTGAGAGACATGTTCCACTTGTTCCAGCGAGAGATCAACCATAGTTTGCGTCTCTATATGGTCGATTCGAGCCATAGGTCTGGCGGGTTTCGACGTGGCAGAATATGCTCGGGATAAATGGCGAAAGATTCGAGTAGCTTCTCAGTCAATTGGCAACAACGGCTTGACTTCGTAGATGTGATCGATGCGACAGTCGATGTGTCCAATGTTGAGGAACAATAGGACAGTTCGTACCAAAAGGTGATTATTCCGTCGCAGGGCAAGAAGCTATTTCAGCGTCGTTCTTGTACTCGGTAGGCGGGACTCGTTTGAATAATCGGTAACGCCAGGCTCGCAGATGTGTACGGATGCAGATCGCAGATCGTGGGATTCACGAGAGCTGTTTGTATATTTATAGTGTTGATGGAAGCGGACTTCATCTCGCCTAAGATTTGTTCTCACTTAATAAACGCCCATTTTTACCCCATCAAAAATCCTTTCCAAACACCCTTCCCCTTCAAGAATTAAAAAATAATCAAAAGATGTTTGTCACGACTCTCTCCTTACCCTGGTAAGGTCACGTGGGTTGGTATGGTGAATGAAGTAAGATAAGGCAATGATATTGTAGTTAGGAAAACTTAATCAAGTTGAGCACAAGGCTCCTACCTAGTGGGCGACAGCCCGTTGTTATATAGAACCTCTGTCTCTCAGATCAATGAGCCTCATTGACCCTCAATGAGGATCAATGATCCATCAGGTGACCCGCTAACCTATTTCGATCCCTCGCCTGCTAGGCCTATGGCCCACAAGCCCCGTGATTGTGATACTATTCCCCATTCCTCCTAGCGCAGTCCCGTGCGCATAACTAGGGCTAGGGATTATCTCATAGCGAGGCAAGGCCCTCCTTCCTTTCCATTATGCCACGCCCTCTTAAAGAAACCTCAGTTAAAGACAAAGAGAGAAAACACCACGCCTAACGAATCCTTAACGCGAGTACCGAAATGATCTCTTGCTTAGCCTGCGAACGAGCCGGCAAAAGGTGCCAGGCTCGAGAGGGTATCTCGAGATGCGCCGAGTGCGTTCGTCGAGGCTTCTCACGATGCGACATGGGAGGTCCCATGCCGCAGGACTGGTCCTCTCTGGACAACAATAAGGAAAAATTAGAACGAGAGTTGGACGAGGCTCTTGCGAAACAGCAAGAGATCGCCGCGCGTGTCGAGCGCATCCAACGACAACGCAAGTTTCTGAGGAAACGGGAGACCGAGATGCTCCGCTGTGGCCTCGAGTCTCTGGATGAGCTGGATGCTGCCGAAGAAAAGGAACGGTTGGATAAAGAGCGGTTGGAGAGGGATCTGCGGGAACGGCCCGCAGTCTCGTCTCCAATTAGCTGGGATCCTAGTATCGACTGGAATGCCCTGGAAGAGTCCTTTCTTCCTGGTCCTAATACTTCCTCCGCTGCTCCCGTCTGGGAAGTCTAGGATACCGGTGGTGAAAGTCAGCTAGGGTCTCAGGGCAGCTGAGGTTTGACTTCGGCTCCCAAGTGTTCTCTGACTGTGGGTATCCTTCCTACTTAACTAAGTACTTGATCTTCCCCCTGATATACTTGTAATCTAGTATCTCCTCCACTTTATACTCAGCGTCTGGGTTGACTAGGTCGATTTCAACTTGAGGCGCTGGTGGCGCCCCTGGTGGCGCGAGCTCGAGAAGTGATATGTGGAATGTCGGGTATATCTTCATATTCTTAGGCAGCTGCAATTCGTAATTAATAGGTCCCTTTACTTTCTTGATCCTGTATGGTCCAAGCTTTTTGTAGTCGAGTTTGTCGCTTGGTCTCTTGGTTTTGATGTTTTTTCTGATTAAATATACCCTATCCCCCTCTTTTAGCGTAGGCTCCTAGCTACGCCGCTTGTTGTAGTAGTGCGCAGTGCGCTTAGAAACAAACTGTAGCTCAGAGGCTAGCTGTATGTGTAGTTCCTTGATTTCAGAGACTCGGACTCTAGCCAGGTTATTGTCGATAGCTGTAATCCCTGGCTCCCTGTATGCCATGGGTTCATAACCAAAGTTGGTATAGAAAGGCGTTACCTTTGTGGTCTCTGTGGTTGAACTATTGTATGCGAACTAGGCAAGCGGTAATAGTGCTACCCAGTTGTCCTGTTGGTAGTTGACATAGCATCTCAAGTATGCTTCAACTACCTAGTTCATCCTCTCATTCCCTCCATTGGTCTATAGATGGAATGCAGTAGTTATCTTCCTTTTAGTTCCTAGAGTGGCTGTGAGAGCGGTCCAGAACTTAGAGGTGAAAAGCTTATCTCGGTCCGAGAGTATTTCTTCTGGTAAGCCATGCCTGCTGATTACTTCTCTGAGGAAGGCATGGGCGAGTTGTTTAGCCGTACTAGCTTCTTGGTAGGGTACTAGTATCATGTACTTTGTGAGTCTTTCTATGATGACTAGAATTGAGTTATAGCTGACTCCTGACACTAGATCCTTGGATAGTGGGAGTTTTGTAATAAAGTCCCACGATATTGACTTCCAAGGGGTGTCTGGTATAGGAACTGTCCTCATTAGTCCCTGCGGCGCGAGACGGCTCGCTTTGTTTCTAGTACAAGTATTGCATTCCTTAATGACTTTCTTAACGATGGCTCTTATCGATGGGCACTAGTATTCCCTTGAGAGTCTGGAGAAAGTTCTCCGTTCCTCTTAATGGCCGTAAGCCGGCAACTTGTGTTATTCTCTTATGATCTCTTCTCTAACGCTTAAGGGAAGGTAGATTCTCCCGTTATGTGTGAGCAGCCCTCCAGGCGTCTTCCTAAAGTACTATGAAACGGAATCTGCCATTAGGTCTATAGCATAGGCTTCCTTAATACGGGTTTCCAGTGGAGTCCCGTCCAAGCGCCCTAGAGAGGCTATTTCTCTGATCGTTGGCGCTAAGTCCCTATTGTTAAGTATACGAAGCAAAGGTTGCTCGTCGTACACTTTATCGTTCTTATATCCGGGTTTTCTGCTAAGGGCGTCAGCCCTCGGGTTCTGTGTGCCTGGTACATGCTTGATCCTTAAATCAAAGCTAGTAAGTTCCTCAGACTATCGCACCAACCTTCGATTGTTAAGGACTTTAGTGGTTGTAAAAGCCCGAAGATTCATATAGTCGGTGTGGATAGTAACTGGGAACTTAGCCCCTTAGAGGTACACCCTCCAATGCCTGAGTACTTCTACTATTGCCAGAAGCTCTTTCTGGTAAATATCGTAGTTCTGCTTTGCAGGTAATATCTTCTTAGAGAAGTACGCGACAGGGTGTAACTTTCCGTCGTTGGCTTTCTGCAAGTGTATTGCTCCCATAGCTGTGTCTAATGCATCGGTCTTAACGATGCTTTCTCGATCCTCCTAGTATTGCTAGAGTATAGGCTCTTTTGAGAATCTAGACTTTATTTCTTAAAAAGAAGCCTCCGCTCGAGGTGTCCATACGAACGGGATATCCTTCTTAGTGAGCGCTGTGAGTGGTTCTGCGAGCTTAGAAAAGTCTCGGATAAACATCCTACAGAAGTTGGTAAAGCCCAGAAAGGACTAGACATCCTTAACCGTCTGGGGTGACTACCATTCCCTTATCTCTTGTAGTTTGTCCGGGTCGACTAACACTCTTTCTGGTTTAATAACATACCCCAAGTACTTTGTGCTAGTGACTCCAAAGTCACACTTCTTGAGTTTGAGCCTAGAGTCGACCTTAGAAAGGGCTTCGAGGACTAGGCGTACGTGCCCCTTATAGTCCTCTCTTTTTTGTAAATACACCAAAATGTCATCCAAATAGCAGACCACAAACTTACCTAGATATTCCCGCAGAATATCGTCGTTCTGCCATTAGCACGTGGCTAGTGCGTTCGTAAGCCCGAATGGTATGATAGTATACTCCTATAGGCCAGAAGGCAGCAGAAAAGCTGTCTTCTATTCGTGGCCTTCCTTGATCCTGATCAAGGCAAAAGCTGTGTTCTGATCTAGCTTCGTGTATATAACTACTGACCCAATTGCATCCCTCAGACTTTGGAGATTAGGCAGGAGATAAACATCCCTCACCGTAGCGTCATTTAGTCCTCTATAGTCCACACAAGGCCATCCCTTTGGATCGTCCTTCTTATGCGCGATTAGTATATTCGATGCTGCAGGGGACTTGGATTTCCTAATCCACCCCTTCGCTAGCGCTCTTTGCACGTACTCCTCGAGTATACCCAAAGTCTGTGGGTTGTACTAGCGAAGCTTCTGGCAAGGCGGCTGCTTGCCTTCCTTTAAGTTGATCTCGTGGTCCTAGGGCTGATGTTTGGGCAAGGCCCTCAAGTCTTCGGGGTCCTCAAATAGCTCAGCGTACTTCCTATAGGGATAAGGTATTCCTTTTCGTCCCTAGTCAAGCGGCCTAATAGTCGTTTGACCCCGTGCCTCAGAGGCCGTGGCACTAGCCTCCCTGGGTTCCTATAGTCACTCATTTGGGCAATTGCATCGATTTAGCCTCAAACTGTGATCTATCCAATTGAGTTCTGGGTTGTGCTCCCGTAGCCAGGGGATCCCTAGAACCACCTAGTGTCGACCAATAGGAGCAATGTCCAAGACGATCATCTCGACATATCCTTGTATTTTCATTCGTAGAGGAGCTGTCTCATACATAACCCTTCCCTCGTTTTGAGCGATAGCTGTCTCGTCTATCGTACTCAGTTGGTACGGCTCGTCTTTCGGCTAAGCTGGTATGCCTAGCTGGGACACTACCTCCCCTGAGATGTAGTTTCCCTGAGCTCCTGAGTCGAGCATAATCATGGTTGACATTCCCTAGATTGTTGCTTGTATTTGGAAGTGACTCGTACTTCCCCGAATTGTTTTCACCGTTGCACTCAGTTCCTTGGAGGACTCCTTAATGAATCTCACCCGAGCTTGTCGACGTCCTTCCGTTGTAAGGATTTCCACCACTTCTTGATTAGTAAACTAGCATTCCCATCTTTTTAGGGATGTGTTCCATTCCTTTAGTCGGTATGGAGTTCTTTCCCGCAATCTGGCTGCAAGTGGGTTATCCTGTCGCTGTACTACAAACCTTGCTCTCTATCCTTCGAAGGGTGGGAACACCGCTTCCCTCCAGACCAAAAGGCTTTGGTCGTATGCAACTATTTCCCAGATTTGTCCTACCTCTAGGACCTCATCGAGTGGTTGGGGCTGGTCCCCTTGCTGGTTGAAGTAGGATACATGTACGGGTAACCGAGGTGCCCGGAGGGCAACCCTCTATGCGTCTCGGTACACGATAGTGTAGTAGGTTCCGGCTTCCGGCATATCCATCCCCCTCCGTAAAGGGCTGATATACTCTTCCTTCCTCCTATACTTCGGTTCCCAAGTCACTAAGAGGGAACCCACACTAGTAACGATCCACTCCTCGTTGACTTCAGGGAAACGTTCCCTTGGAGACTTAACTAGACTAACCCCTCCGAGTTGATGGTCTTCCTCTTGGATGCTTTCCTCCACTAGGGTCTCCGATTCCCCCGACATGCTATCCGGTCCCCAGAGTTCCGGTGTGTCACCTAGGGGCCCCCACTAGCTGCTGACTGGGCCGGGTTGGGTATTATACTCCCATTCTTCTATGCGATGGGTAGTATTGGCTTGTCTCAAGGTTTTGGTTTCCTTGGTGGCATTGGCCTGCTTGCCTTTTCCCTTGTTGTGGGAAGATGCAACGTGGCTAGGTAGTCTACACTCGTAACAGAGTCCCTTCTCTCGACGCTCCTTCCTAACTTCCGGCGAAAGCTGCTTCCTAAGCCTCTTCCCATGAAAGCCTCCTCTTTCGCTCTTCCTCTGACCCCTGGCCGTGGTTCCGTCAAGCTACATGGGATCCCCCTTGTCCTGTGACTTTGGAGAACCTTGTGTTTGACGGTAAGAGTACACTCCTTTTCGCTCAAGGCGCTTCTCATAGAACCGCTCGTCGAATCTTGCGGCTAGGCGTATGGTTTCCTGGAGGCTAGTGGGTTCTAGCTCCACTCGGGCGAGCTCATCCTTGATGAACTCCTTGAGGCCCATGTAGTACGTTCTTTTCAGAGCCTTTTCATCCCATCCAGCCTGACTAGTATACTGCTGGAACTTAGAGGTATAGTCCTTGACAGACCCCGTCTGTTGTAGCCTCAACAATTCCCTTTCAGCCGTTTTCTCGACTTCCAAATCCCCGTAAACCCCCACTATAGCCTTCTTAAATCCCCCAAACCCTCTGAAGATGACCTTAGTCTCTTCCCTTGCGCTGTTGAGGATCGTTCTAGTTGTTGCGTGTCGATTAGTCATATAGTCAGACAAGTAGGCCTTGAACCAGTTGAAGGCTAGTCCCTTTAGGTAGCTAGCAGCAAAAGCTACTTTGGCCCCCTCGCTAGGGAACAAGTGTGGGTTGAACATTAAATAGATATCCATAGAACAAAGGAATGATTCGAGCTTATGTCGGGTGCCGTCGTAAGTATCTGGTACCTTAACAGCTGGGGTACGTTCCTGTACCGCAATAGTCGTCACCTCCGTGGGTACTAGGGTCTCTACTCGTCCAGAGGTAGACATGGTTGCCGAATGCTAACTTCAAGACCAGGTGCTCAAAGTGTCACAACTCTCTCCTTACCCTGGTAAGGTCACGTGGGTTGGTATGGTGAATGAAGTAAGATAAGGCAATGATATTGTAGTTAGGAAAACTTAATCAAGTTGAGCACAAGGCTCCTACCTAGTGGGCGACAGCCCGTTGTTATATAGAACCTCTGTCTCTCAGATCAATGAGCCTCATTGACCCTCAATGAGGATCAATGATCCATCAGGTGACCCGCTAACCTATTTCGATCCCTCGCCTGCTGGGCCTATAGCCCACAAGCCCCGTGATTGTGACAATGTTATATTTAAAATAAAGAAGACCAAATTTTGTCGCTTTTAATAATAAATAAATTTTTTTAAAAATTTATAATTTTTTATTAATATTTTTGAAATTAAAAAAATTTGTTTAAATTTTTTTTTAAATATTAATTTAAAATAAGCTAAAAATATGTTGGAAATACGGTCCATATTAGGTGAGTCTGATGTCACGAGATCTCGCGTGACACTAGACTGAATGGGGATTAGCTCCATTCAAGCTCGAGTATATCCTCAA